GCTCAAATGCGCTGCAGACACAGCACGAGCCTGATCAGAACGTTTGGGTAAAACTCTAAAAGCGTCAAAGGACCCAGTAGCAGAAAGATAAGGACAGTTCTCACTAGGAATCCTTCATGTATCCTCACGTGGATGTATGTTTAGATTGCATCCGTTTGTCCCACAGAATGAGTGCAGCCAGCTGGCTCATGAGTCGGTGTGGGACCTACCTGCAGTCCAGTCCTGGGTGTCAGAGCAGAGCTGCTGAGGACTGTGATTGGCCTGGAAGACTGTTGGACCATGCAGGGACACAGAGTCCACATTTTAACCACAGACACAGACGCAGGGACACTTTCTGCCCCAGATGAAGGAAGGAGCCGAACATGCAGGACTCCTCCGGACTGCAGTCTCTTTGGTCATTGACGGTAAAAAGCTTGTTGCTCCACTTTTTGCTGTCGAAGGATGGCCCCCACTCCCCACAAGTGAGAGGCATTTAAATAACTACTGCATATATAAAACATTTGGATAATAACTCATGTATCCAGATAAAACAAGTTGAATTACCAAAGTGTATACAGGGTTTACGTCCCAATGATTCATGTGACCACCACTGCATTTGTGTAGTGTCCCCGGGTCTCCAAAGTCAATATTCTTCTTTAAATCCTGAATCCTTAAATTCATACTTATTTAGTGTTTTGGACATTCGTGTCATTAATGTTTAGGGGATTGGCATTATTTTTGCTGCATGAATAAAATCACATTAACATTTATATATGAATAATGGCTAACTTGGCCTCTTGAATGCATTTGATGAGAACCACATACTTTAGACGTTTGTATGATTTTCGTTTTTTGGTATATGGGGTAAAGTAATATTCTTTTACTCACATTTTATGTGTTCTCGATTTATCTTTCGTCAAATTATTTTAATCTATTTTGGACAATCTCGCATTGAATGTTTCAATCATAGCTCCTTCTACAAAAATGTGATTCCACACCATTCTTGTTTCAGCATTTCAGTTAAAAAACAAAAAGGATTAGAAGAATTAAGGATTAGAGTTACCTTTTGGATTGGATTTTGGAATATAAAATGACTTCTCTTGTTTTTCTCTTGACAGTCAAAGAGTTGACATTTTATATAATATGTGCACAATATTACACTGTTGTTGTTGCCCCAATTTTGAAATCTACTACCAATGGTCCCTTGAACGGGTACTCCTGTAAAATTCTAAAATACATTCTAAATAAATTATGCCATGATGTAGTACGCGCCGCCCAACCACAGACCTCGGCAACCAACATATATGGTATCTTTTATTCATTTAATTCTAGTGTCGTAAAAAGATGTAAGCCTCAACATTTTGTTATCTTTAAGTCTTTATGCTACGCATGTTGATTCTGTCCCTTACATTCTCTGTTTCCATGTGTGGCTGTATCAGAATTCACGTATATGTATGTGTGTGGGAGGGGAAGGGGGGGGGGGGGGGGGTGTAAGGGATATCCTCTTGGCCTTGGGAAAAAAAAATCTGTGTGCACAAACTGACAGAAAACAGACTATGGCATAGAGCTTCCTCTCAACTAATGAATTCCTGATCACATTCACACACACACACACACACACACACGCACGCACGCACGCGCACACACACACACACACACACACACACACACACACACACACACACATGCACGACACATACATGCAGACAAAAGCCTTTTTAGCTGCCAGCCCACAGACCTTAGTCAAGGAGAGTTTCTTTCAAGGAGTAGTGAGATCAAATAATAATGCAGTATTTTTAGGTGGTTGGTGTACAACTTAAAATACTTCTTGTTAATTTGCTGCTCTTATGGTGATTAATTATTGACTATTTATAACTTCAGCACTGCAAAATTAAAAACGTTTCAGTTGGAACAAATGGATTTAATTCATATTGTGTTGATTTTTTGAATTGGGTCCCAAATGTTGGATGCGTAAAACTAGTTTCATTACACATGAAAACATTGAAACATTGAAGGACATTATAAGTCGGCTCGTGCAGAGTTCAAGTAGGCGAAGGAAGACGGATCATCTTCACTGCCGGTGTCTTATGAGGTGGTTTTCAGTTCAGTTTGACAAGGGAGAAGACGGATGTTGTGTCAGTGTGCAGTGTCCTCTCTGTCCAGCAGGGAGCAGAGTAAAGTCCTTCTTAAGTCTACCAGATGATGTGAGAAAACTAGTACGAGAAATACTGCTGATACGACTAATAGTGCTGTTACTTCTGCTACTACCATGATGGTACATATTAGTGTTAGAGCAACTTAAAATGTGACCCCTTTTATCGATTCCATAGCAAATAGATGTTGGATGTTACATAGACGAACTCTGAATCCCATACATATTCTCCATATGGGCCTTCCATGAACTTAACTCTTAAGCAAAATAACCTCCGTGTCTGCAAACACGTGCATGCAAAATCTACTCAATAACCAATCAAAAGTAAGTGTAAAAAAATAAATTTTTAAAATAAGCCAGGTCAGCTTCTGCAATAACTTTAGCAAAATTTGGACACAGAGCTAAAAAAATAGTGGTAGTAGTAGTAGTAGTAGTAATAGTAATAGTTTGGCACAGGCTTAAAATCCACCAGAAAACGCTGAAACCGGATTTGAGCCCAATATCCTGTAAAAAAAAAGTAAATACAATTTGATAATCCAATGCAACTAGCAATATTAATAAAAGAATCACTGCAGTTTCAGGCTTTAAGGCAACCTTGGGGGGGAGGGGTGGGCACTCCTCAGAGAGTCCCAGTGCTTTTCCTAACAAACGGAAATAAATTGAAAATAAATAAGACATAACAACAGAACGATCCATTGACAGAGTTAATAAAAGGAGACATAAAACATATATTTTACATATTTTCTGCTGTATATTGGGGGGGACAAATTGGTATTTTCTCAATATTGGGGGGGACACAACCCCCCCAAATAATGCGTGGCTACACCCTTGATATTGTCACAAGGCTATTTACTAAAGTCAAAAAACTAAATCTGGGGTCAAATTGTCCCCCATATTTCGGTGTATATTTGTACTCAGTTAACTCAGGGTGAACATTCCACGTAACAAAACCCGATACAAAATGGAGTTGAAAAAAAAAATGGAGAAAAAAATGCAGAAAAAATGTGGGATAAATCTAGCTGCTAGAATTGGTTTGGTTTTCTAAATACAACCAAGCCTCAAACCACTGTTGTTCCAACCACTTTTATAAATGGCAGAGAGACTCAAAGTTTGAGGTTGATTTTTCCATCATTGCCCAGCGCAATAAGCAGTCCCGTTTTGCTACATAGGTGAAGAGAAAACGAAATAAATTGTTTTATGGTGGCGTACAAGTCAATGAGTCTCTCAGACTGCGCTGTAATCTGGTGGTACGTCAAGGGTTAATCCTTTATCTCTCCTGTATCAGATGGCAGCACCTCACCATGCCAATATCTCTGGTTTCTGCTTCTTACGTTTTTGTCTGCTGTGACTTCTCAAACACTCAGACTTCTAAAACGGAAATGTTTACTCTTAGTTGAAAAGATGAGAAAAAACACCTCCTCTAGTTTTAAGAAGGTTCACAACAGTTAACCTGAAGCCACATCCCTCCGTATAACGCAGTTCACCAGGCAATTTCCAGAGCAATTTCCAGAGCAGTACAAAGGCTGCATGCAGTTCCCATAAACCTCTCCCTCTCAGCACTTCTGAGAAATCTGAGAAAAAATGGAGCTTCAGTTGCAGGGCTGATGATTCCCCCTTTTTACTGACTTCAATATGCCCATCTGCTTCATTCAACTTCAACCAACAAGCTGAACAAAAGGCAGACAATCAATCTAAGCTGGATGTGTCTCTCTGCCCTGAAAATACCAACAGTCCCCCCACAACACTATGCATGTTTCTGCTGTGGGTCTCGGACTGATCAAACAGGTTTTATGTTGGAGCCTCTAGTTTGAAAACCTTCTGTGTTAAGGTCAGTGATAATGAAGGAAATGAAATACCAGGATTATGTCTCTGTTTGAAGTTGCTTGGCACACAAACTATACCTACACGACTGAGGCCACCACTGTGTTTTTATAACGTGAGACCTGTCTACACACACACACACACACACACACACACACACACACACACACACACACACACACACACACACACACACACACACACACAATGTTTGGGAGGGTGGTTAGTAGCAGTGTTCTGGTTTAATGGGGTACTTACCTGAACCAGCCACCAATAAATCCTCTGGTACAAAAGGTTTTTCATTTTCAGCTTGAGAGACTAAACTGGAATGACTTAATTGACATACTAATGTTTAAAATAGACTAGCCTTAGTGGACAAAAAGAGACACCTGGACAAACCTGTCAGCCTATATGGATCAAAAAAGTAAATACAGTTTCATCATTGCTACGACAAACCAAGATTAAATTCCTTCCAATTTATCAGAAGTATCAGGAGTTGTCTAACTATCACTGATTTCAAGTTTACATGGCATTGGAATTTGTTGGCCTTGTGTTTTTTGGAAATGGGTTAGGGTTGTGTGGAAATCCATACAACTGGTTTGTGTTCTGCATGGTAAAATGCCTTTTTTTCCGTTAATGAAGTCAATTATTTTATTTTGTATAGCCCAAAATCGCAAATTACAAATTTGCCTTAGAGGGCTTTAAAGTCTGTGCACATGCAACATTCCCTGTCCCAAAACCCCTTACGCAAGCACTGGAAAAACTCTCAAAAAAATGAAAAAACCCTTGATGGGGAGAAAAAAGAGAAGAAACCTTAGGGGGACCAGCAAAGAAGAATTCCCCTCCCAAGATGGACAAATTGCAATGGATGTTATGTGTAAAGAATGAACAGATGAAAGACATACAGTAGTTCAATTCATACGACACAATATTTTCAAATTTTGAGAATAGTAAGCCAGGTGTACAGCAGGACCACTGCAGGGACAACCACCATCATATACAACCACCATCAGATATTACATTACATTACATTTAGCTGACGCTTTTATCCAAAGTGACTTACATTGCATTTTTAACAATTTTGCCCGGGTAGCAATTAGGGGTTAGGTGTCTTGCTCAGGGATACTTTGACTTGGAGAAACCAGGGCTTGAACCGTGATCCTTGCGGTTCCCAGCGGTTAGGGTTAGGCGCACCCTCTCTACCCCATGCGCCACCCACACAACCATAACCATAATAATGATAGTGATGGTGATAGTCATAGGTGTGTTTTGTTGTCATCTTATCCCTGCCTGTCTTTTTCCGGTGGCCATGACAACGGGGCGTGGACTTTGAGGACGCGCAGCTGCTTCGAATCAGTCACCTGACTCCCGTTCCCTATCAGGGGGGTATTTAGGAGCAACCCGGAGATCCAGTCCCTGCCGGATCGTTAGATGCCAATAGTAGGTGTTAGTGAAGAGATCGAGAGAATGAGTTAGTCTTGAAAGTTCCGTGGTTAGAGATTGATTTAACTCTCATTGTTCCCCCCCAGGGTTATACCTTGTACGACCATTGTTCACCCTGCCGGACTTCGCCTCACCTAACTTCGAATCACCTGACACGCCATTATCTCTCGTTGGGTCAAGGACTCTGTGAAGGGACCCACTCCAGGAACCAGAAAGTTGCAGACTACTGGTGGTTTTCTGCTTTGTTGTTTTTGTTGTTTGACTCACGGAATTAAACCTTTTGTTTCAACCCTCCGGTCTGCGTCTGGGTCCTGTCCGAGCAAACTGACACTAGAAGTAATAATCGCATGATTTCTTTTTCTGCATAATAGATGTTTGATTTGTGTCTGAGTTTAGCATCAGAAAGTGCTAAAGTTTGGGAACGATCTAATAAATACAACTTCAACCAGCTCGGTGCTGTTTCTTTAATACCAATCAAATGTTCTAGTCTCTGCAACAGGATTGGGGTCCAGCAAGACGAGAACAGAGACAAGTCATTTGTCACATGCAAGTATACTTGAAATCCTCTCTGAAAATCCTCATTTATCAGGGCCCACAGCTGCATCCAAAGTTCTCACACCCGAGGACTGGTTGCCATTGGTTAAAGGCAGGAGATCATCAATTTTCTAATAGTTAGAAGCTTAATAAAAAAGTTCATGAAGTCGTTACTAGTCGATCACTGAGGTCCAAATGAATACACGGCTCAACAGAGCTGTGGCTCTCTCAGTTTGGCTACACTGCTGAGAGAAACCTGGGGCTGTCTCGTCAAAATAACCTAGATTTTTTTTAATTGGTGGAACGCCAGAACCGTTCAAGTTGCTGCACAGTTTGCTCTAAGTTGCAGGCTTGGGAGGCTTTGTGTTTCTTATCAGAAAGGTTCAGTTGGATTATTATCACAAATTCTAAGCACATTTACGGAGCTTCATTAGAATAGTCTTTTTAGCAATTGCAGTTTTTGGGTTCGTTTTTTTTTTATGTCAATGTGATTGCAGAAGTTGTCGCAAAATTTTACACTGAGCCTCCAGCACCGACAACCGTTTATTGGTGATCTTACAACATTAGATGATAAAAAACTGTAGAACAATCCTCTATTTCTTTTTACCTTATCTTTGATAAAGGGCTTTCATATTTGAAGTGCCTTTCATCTGAATAATAGATCTTCCTGTTCCGTAAAATGATTGCAAAAGCTGCTATGCTCTTGTGATAAAACTCCTTTATGCTACATCGTAGACAAAGACACACAGAGACTCTCAGTCAGACCTTAAACATCTGTCATCGGTACGTCTGTGGCTCGCAGGGCTGCTTTATTAACTGCTGGACATGCACTCATACACAAACACATACAGAGAGAGGGAACATATCAGTCACATCTTGGCCAAATTCAGTTAACCTTTGGTTTTGTGGGCCAGAGACACAGGGCCAGAGCCAGGGGCCAACGCACACACAGCCACACAGCCACACACACACACACACACACACACACACACACACACAGTCACAGACACACACAGGCCTGTGGTACACAGTAAATGAATTAACGATAGTCCAGAACCTAGTCTGGACATCGTCACTGAGGCATCTGGTCAGCACGGCTGCTCTCTGCTGATGATCTCTTATTTGTCTCTTGTTTAGCCAGAGCTGCATTCTCCAAACAACAACTTTATCTTGTGCTAATGCATGCAGCATCTCTAAAACAAGCAGGATTGTGGAAGTAGCCATTTTCAGATATCAAATAGTACAGATTTAGCATGTATCGGTGAGTGGTTGAGGTGCTGGTAAGTGGGTTTTGTTACCTTTGGACCGAGCGAGCCAAACAATGTATCTCTGTTTCCAGGTTACATGCGGCGTGTGTAGCTCATTCACTTTTTAGTGTGTAATGTGCTTGACTGAAAGAGCTGTTCTTTTCCACTCACTGACCCCAGCTGTCCCAGAGAACTGCAGCCCCATAGAGCATAAATACTGCACTAATCAAGGTTAAGACGCTTTCTGTACTTGTATATTTTTAACACGTTTCTCACAGGTTTGAAGTAGGAGGGACTCGGCTGGAAAAACTGAATAATAAAACTGAACATAAGAATAGAAAAATAAATAATCTTTATTATTTTTTAATGAAAAAAAACAGCTGTTTGAAACAGCTAATTGACAGCTCTGAACAATGACTGCGAGGAAATAATAAATAAACTACGGGGTTAGGCATGGAAGAGTGTATACTGCTCATATCTGAATATGCGAGTTTCATGTCCATAAAACGTGTGTTTATAAATCCAGTGGTTGATTGAATTTCACTGCTTCAAAGTGCTGAGCAGCTGTCACTGTGATGCTATGCTTTACATTGTTACTGTCTGGGTGAGGGCCGCCTTCCTTATACGAGAAGGGAAGGAGACAATGATGACACACTGGCTGATGCATATCAGCCCATATACGTACTTGAACAGTTTCACTGTGTTTTTTCACTTGCTCATGGTGGATTTCATGATGAAAATAGCCAAAATAGAGCAAAGATGTGTTGTAAAGAAATTATTTGTGAGACAATATATGTCTGCACTGTAAGTTGCCACAAAATACGGTATACAAACAAAACACATATGAGTGCATTTGGAATGTAATTTGATAGAAGTTTATAATGTAATATTCAGCAGGTAATTTAAGAAACCAACAACATAAACATGATTAGCTAAGAAATTGTGAAACTATTGCATGAGTTTAATGTTTTCAGTCACTGAAAACATCAAAAACATTTGTCTAAACGCCCTTGTATTTGTACACGATGATACACTTTAACAATGTTCAACAGATGCTTAACCTTTAATTTTGTCAATCAAATATTCTTCACATCATATCACCTGCAGATATAGATCAGACACATCATTGGTGAATTCACCAATGCAAGCTGGTTTGTCAACTGAATGGTTGTCAAAGTGTATTTTTCTGGAAATAAATCAAAGTAGTTTGCATATTGTAAACCCATTGATAACGGTATAGCTAGTCGTGGAGTGAGATAACAGAAGACGTACAGAATAGCATGAATTTCAGGAGTTGGCACAAGTCGAGCCGGAACATTTTTTTCCCCTTTATGCATAGCTAAATGTTTGATGGTTGTATAAATATAGTGAATGACTAATGAACATGGTAAAGCTAAATATGGACAGGTTTTAATCTGAGGCCGCCAGCCAACTGTAATATTTACACACTAACAATGGGGGGGGGGTGGGGAGCATGTGAATGCCAAAGTAAAAAAGCTGAGGTGGTTATAAGTTTATGTTTCTCTCACTCTCTTTTGCTCTCTCTCACACATGCCCAGTGGCAGCTAAAACATTTTAAGTGTATATTTGTCTCAGTGCCAGTTTCCTTCCATTAAGTACGGAGCAGTTGGCATTCAAATCCTCACATAACCTGCAGTGAGCTATGGACAATCTCTCAGTGCCTCAATGTGGCATGGTCAAACACTCAACCATAACCCTGTACAACTTGTATTATTGCATGTGACTCTTACCCAGAGCCATGGGTAACCTGTTTGCCTGTATGGAACAACCACATAGTCACCCATATGTTGGTGGACTGCCGTCTTTAAGGCTTTAATTGATTTTCTTCTGAAAAGAAATAACCATATTTGGAATGCCTTTATAGCTCTGCAGTAGCAGTGACCTGTTAATGACAGTACTCCTGCCCAGAAGCATACTCAATTTTTTGGCCCATCATGTGATGTGTTTGTGGATTATAAATTGTGTTTGCACTCCATTGCTCTGCTAAATTGAATATATCACTTACTTTTTCATAATTAGTAATTCATAACACTGATAATACTTGATAATGCACAATAAGGTAAAGTGTACAAAGAAGTCATTAAATCAAAACAGAAATAATTATTTCATAATTTAGACTTATATATATATATATTTGAAGAAAACTGTTTTAGATTTTCTTTGAAAATCTTATATCAACAGTTCCGTTAACTGTTTAATGCTAATAATTTGTATACATTAGGAAACATGACATTCCTCATGTCCATTGTCCCAAAGTATTGTGCATGATTGTAAACAAAGTAGATTTAGCTGAATAGAGCCAGAACTTGCCACAGTGCAGGTGTGCAGTTCCTTCAAAAGTTTGGACTCATCGAGTCACTCACTGATATCTGTGCAAAAGGTTTGCTTTTCCTGCACATCCTCTCTGCCTGTCTGCATGTCTCAGCAGCGCAGAGAAATGGCCCATAAGACGGTGGTCTCTGAATCAGCTTAGCGAATTGTTGGTTAAAGGTATACCTGTGTAACATGAAATCCGTCCAATTAGCCTCAAATATTTATTTATATTTTTGACGAATATTCTACAAATTTATTTGGAGGTAAATAAATTGTATAATTATTATTTGTATAATAATTACCTTGAGACTTTGGTAATAGTTAGCCCAAACCTGGGGGATTGTTTCCCCCTGATCCTCTGACAACATGTTCCTGTTTCTTGCCCTGCCATTACTTGGGGTTGACCTGTGATCTCAGATCTTACTGTGCTGAGAGTAATATCATCATCTCTTATAGACAACAAAAACACAGTTGTAATAAATCACAATTTTACTTTCAACTTCAGCTCATAACATTTGCTACATTTTGTAGTCTGTGTTTCTTTGCAATAGAGAACAATGCATTCTGAGTTGGTTAACAAACAATTACACAATTAGTGTTTGAACATAACAGCCTGAATTCACTTTTAAAGTTTAAATTTGTTGGTGTGTATGTGCTTGTGTATGCACAAGTATGCTTTTGTGTGTGTCCAATGGATAAGAAATGCTATCTTAACTTACTCTTTCCACGATGAGGTCACTGAAACACACAAGCGCTGTGCAGTTGTGTGTGTGCGGGCTGGAATAATTGAACAGACAGTTAGGCCTGCAGTCTGGTTCCCATGGTATTAGTTGTAGTGGAGCAGGGCAGGAGATATGAGTGTGTGTGTGTGTGTGTGTGTGTGTGTGTGTGTGTGTGTGTGTGTGTGTGTGTGTGTGTGTGTGTGTGTGTGTGTTAGAGAGGTGCCAGTATTATCAGCAGAGCAGTAGGAAGGTTACGCTACACTAACAGGAATGTCTCTCATCATTCCTGACACAGTCCAGCTGTCCCTCAGCGCACCTTCCACCCCTTTCTCTCTCTGCCCCTCTCTTTCTCTCTCTCACACATCCCCATTTCACAACACAATCCACAATAAGAAATTAATGAGATAAAGTTTTTCTGGATGTGTGTAATTTGTTACAATAACATTGTTTTG